AAAAATAATTTACTCTAAAGTAAAGTAATTTACTTAAAAGTAAAGTAATTTACTTAAAAGTAAAATAATTTATTTAAAAGTAAAATAATTTACTCTAAAGATAAAGAAATTTACTCTAAAGCCAGAACAAAGTTTTTGTTAATTTAAAGGAATCATTTTCTTGGAGTTGTTTTGATTCACTCAAAATAAATTTTTCTTTCACGCAGAAAGAGAATTTTTGATTCAAAGAAAATTTCTTCAAATTAAAGTTTTTTTTATTTGAACTTTTCATCGATTGAAACAAATTTTCTTTGAACTCAAGAAATTTGTTCTTCAAATCAAAGAAATTTTATCATTTTTATAGGGTAAAAATAATTCTAAAATTCAAAAAGGAAAATTTCTTTGCAACAAAAATAAATTGTTTTTGAAGCAGGTACATTTTTTAGTTTACTAAAATTTGCTTTAATCAGATCATTTTTTTGAGTGAAATAAATTTTTTTTTTTAAATAAAATAAGGAATTTTTAATCGAAAAAACAAGTCGAAGCAAATGATTTCTTTAAATCGAGAAAAACTTTTTTCTGGCTGTAAAGAAAAGTAATTTACTCTAAAGTAAAGTAATTTACTTAAAATTAAAAATAATTTATCTAAAAGTGAAATAATTTACTCTAAAGTAAAAAAATTTTCTCAAAAGTAAAGTAATTTACTTAAAACTAAAATAATTTACTCTAAAGTAAAGTAATTTACTTAAAAAGTAAAATAATTTATTCAAGAGTAAAGTAAATTACTCAAAAGTAAAATAATTTACTTTAAAGAAAAAAAATTTAGTCTACAAAAATTAAAATGAACGAATATAAAATAAACTATAAACGAAAAATAAAAAAATTAAAAATTGAAAGAATTATTTGGTTAGCAGCAAAAATATTTCTTTCTTTCTTTTTTGTGATATAATTATTTCATATACTTTTCTTTTTCACTTGAAAAAAAAGGAAGAAAGGAAAAATTTAGTAAAATTATGAATGTAAACTTTTAAATGGAAATGAATGTAGATAGAAAAGAAGTGAAATTTTTTTTTGTTAAGTTTTTAATTTTCCAAAATTGTTTACTTAAGGCTTTTTGAAAAAAAAGTGTTTACGTTGCCCGCTGGCTTGTAAGCTACTGTATACTGTAAACTTGAAAGCATTCTTTGCTTTTTTTATTTTAATCCTCTTACATCCGCTAAATCTTTTAAACCCTTTGTCATCCATTTTTACAGTTCAGAGAAGCTGCAGGTATTTTCTTCTAAATATTGCAACCTTGTAACTTCTGAATGAAAAAAATATTGTCTTCACAAGTCAACATATAAATATTGAGTTTGTTTCAAAAGTGCGATGGGAAAATTCGATGCCACCAAATTTTTTTATTTTGTGCATTTATTGCGCACTCTCTAAATCTGCATTAGTAAAAATTTTAACTAATTTGCATTAGTCACTGATTTTTTGCTTTTGAATTAGTAGAAATTTCTATTTATTAGTAAAATTTATTAATAAATTAGTAGAAATTACTATTTATTAGTAAAATTTACTAATAAATTAGTAATTACTATTTATTAGTAAAATCTACTAATTCAAAAGCAGAAAGTCAGTTACTAATTCAAATTAGTAAATATTTTTAGTAATTCTTATTTAGAAAGAAAATTTCTTTTTTAAAGGTTCTTCTATCTTCTTGAATTACATTTATTCCCTTGCTGATAAAATTTTAATTAATTGTTGTCCTTTTTTGTCGTAAAATAAAGGTTTAATTTTGATTTTTCTTTAGGAATAGAAAACTTTTGTTTGAATTGTATCAATTCCAATTGGAATTAAGGGTGCATAGTAATCATTGGAAAAATTTCCACGCTTCAACGCTTGTTTCGTTGCTTATATAAAACGTCCCCTGCAGGTTTCTTGATACTTTAAGTAAACACAGCCACGTGCATCTATTTTAGACACATTTTGTCAAACATTAATTAAAGTCGATTCTCTTGAATTTGTCAGTTTTTCCAGATATCAAATTCGAATCTAATTCGGAGAAAAAAATTAACCAAATTTACTGTTTTTTCGGTACTTTTTTCGCAAGGGTTTTTATAATTTTAGATAATTACAAATATTTATTTATTCATTTAAATATAATCATAAAGTATAAATAAATAATTATAAATATAATTATTTGAATATTTATTATTAAATAAAATAGTAAAGTAAGTATTAGTAAATATTTGTTATAAATTATAATAAATAAATTATTGCAATATAAATTACACAAGAAATAAATGAAGTTAGTACAAGTTGCCGCGCCCGTTTGAAGCTACATATCTTCACGTGACAATGCAATTTAGAAGAAGAAAAAAAATGTAAAGATTTTTAGAAAACGGGCGTATTCTTCGATTTTTCGAACGGGTCGATGAGACATCGACGGGACATTTCTATTTACGAGGAATTCCCGCTATGAAACGAGAAAATCCTTTGTCACCTTTGACTTTTATGTTTCAATACACAGAAGCTGAGGGTGAGAGAGAAAGAGTGAGTGAGAAAAAAAAAATTGATTAATGTGTTCCACGTCCTCTTATATAGAGAGACTTTTTACAATATGTATACCGGCAACATTTGAAATTGTCGTCGATTTTTTTTCTTTTCCTCTTCTTTTTTTGTGTCATGAAGAAATTTTATATGGGCTCAATAGAAAGAAATCAAATACGAGATGCTGAGCGACACACGAGCCTACTTCAAGGAATACACCTGAATCATGATTTCACAAAAAAGGTCAATTCGATAGCAAAAAAAAAGAAAAAAAAGTCATATGTATATAAATGTCAATAATATCGTCTTTCCGGAAATCTTTCACTATGATGTGTATTCCGAGAAAATTCGATATTCTGAATATCATTATTTTATGAGAATTGACTGATTAGCATTTTTTTTTAAATTGAGACGAATTTGATATTTTTGTTTCATTGGAATTAGTTTCTTTTCGTTAATTAGTTAATTTGTTTTTATGATTATAATTTTTATTAGTCAGTTTTTTTTAAATTAGACTAAACTAATTTAAACTAATGGGACTACAGTCTTTCTAAGAATATCAAATTGAGACAAAAAACGTATCAAAACGTTGCAACATTTTGCTACGTTTTCTGTCTCAATTTGATATCCTTAGAAAAGCTGTGACTATTTTTTAAGACGAGATTTTAGATACCAATTTATTTAGTGAAGAAGTCAATTCTAAGACTAAAAAAATTAGGACCTCAAAAATATCGCGAATTAAAATTGAAATACGTTTAAATTAATTGTTAAACTCTCTAAATTTGATTATAAATAATTATAGAATTATGAATAGTGACGAAAATATTGAGATTCAATATGGAGAAGCTTTTCTCCACCTGCGAACGCCAAGGTCACCGCCAGACGGCAGGACAGTTGACAAAATTGAGATTTCTCGCCATCTAGTGGTGATCTTGGCGTTCTCATGTGGAGAAAAACTACCATTTTATTTCTTTGCGAATAGTTTTATTTTATATAATTTTTTTGTCTTTTTCTTGTCACTTTTTTTTAGAAAATAATTTTTTAATGAAATTGTTAATTGATATAAAATTACATTTAATTTTTTTTATTTTAAAAATATTAATTATTCACTACATTTTAAAGAAAAATAATATTTAATTAAGCTAGAAAGTTAGAAAATAATTTTTAATAGATAAAATCAGCGCTAATTTAGCACTTTTTTATATTGAAAAAAATTTATTTGATTCAAATAACTGATTACTTACTATCAAATAAATATTTCTTTAAATCAAAGAGTTTGAACAAAACAAAATTATTTTTTGAAACATTTTATTTTGTCTTTTCCTGATTTTCTGCTTTCACTGATTTCTAAATTCAATTATTCAAAACTTGAATAATTTTGATAAATGAATATTTAAATTTTTTTTATTTGTTTTTCCATGGAAAATGAAATTAAAAAAATTTCAATTTAAAACATTCTGAAATTTAATAATTTCTAAAAGTTACAAAGACTATAATCCTATAAAAATTCAATTATTTTTTACGATTTTTAATTGAACTTCATCTCTAAATCAATTATTGTTTAATAATTTTTCGAAACTTCTTCAAGAATTCAATTATTTAAATTTTAAATACAAAAATTAAATTTTTTTTAATAATTGTACTAACTGCATAATTGTTCATGTTTTCTTTTAAAGTTATTAAATTATAATATTTTCAAAAAATTATAATAAAAAAATTCTTAAAATTAATGTTTTTAAATTGTTTTGAAATAATTTTTGAAAGTTAATTGTTTTTCCATTATATGCAATGAAAATCAGCGCTAATTTAGAACTTTTTTATATTGAAAAAAATTTATTTGATTCAAATAACTGATTATTTATTATTAAATAAATATTTCTTTAAATCAAAGAGTTTGAACAAAAAAAAAAATGATTTTAAGAAACATTTCTTTTTGTTGATAAAATAATTAATATAAATATTAATTAATGTAAATATAATATTAATATAAATATAATTAATATATATATTAATTAATATAAATATAATTAATATCAATATTAATTAATATTACCCAGGGAATAAAACCTTCACCTGAAATAACGATAAGTTTCTCTAGAATAGCCAAACTAATAATTGAAACAATTATAAATTTCGTTAATGTAGGAAAATTTGCAGCTGTTTTGGGTTATATTTTTTCTTACATCATATTAATTTGAATTAATTTTTAATTTAAATTCCTATTCGTTTATTTTATTATTTATCATTTATTTAATTTATTATAAAGTATTTTATTGCAAAGGCATAAATTATAATTATAAATTAATGTTAATAATAGTATTAATAATATTGTTAATAATATTAATAATAATGTTAATAATAATATTAATATTATTATAATAATATATAATATAATAATGATATTAATATTATTATTATTATTATTGAAAAATACGTGAGTAGGAAGGATGTTTGAGGGAAATTTGAAAGAACGTGACAAGTAAATATTTATCACGAAAGAAATTATATTTAATTGATAAACTCTTTACAAATATGTACATATATAACAAAATATGACTAAAATTAACTTAAATAAAAAAAATATTAATAATAAACTGACCTCGTAGATGACTCACGCGAGAGATACTCTTTTTCGCAGTAAGCCTGATTCATAGGTTGTTCGCCGCATTAATGACAAGGCGAAATCAGTATTCTCCGAAGTCTTGTTAACAGGGTCACGCGTTACCGGTTGACAATTTTTTTTATTTATCATAAATCGTCGTCGTTTGCTCATTTTTTTTAATAATCTACGAACCCCTCTTTAAAACATTGTTGTCGCTTTATTTTAAATATTTATTTCGTTTCTCTTTCTCTTCCCCATCTGGACGATTTTTCGACAAATCTCCTCGAATTTTCAAATTTGAAAAAGTCTTTTCAAAGAAAAAAGAAACTTTCTTTCCTTCTTTTTTCAAAGTAAACATTTCTCTTTTTTTTTAAACTGTTCAATTTTTTAATAATAAAAGTAGTAAAATAGTAAAATTTGAGTTTTTTGAAAACTAAAATTTTACTGGAATTTCCGAAACATTTTTGTTTACTACTTTCGTTTATTTATTTTTTAATCAAAATCTTATCATTCAATCAAAGTTGGTATTTTGATTAAAATTTGTAAGGAATTTTAATAATTAAATTTAATTGTAAAGTAATTTTTTAGTTCTTTACGATTGAACTTTTCTTTTTTTGAATGCAAAATTACAACTCTGAGAAAACTGTGTTAGTAGACAACCATAAGCAAGAAAATATGTTTGAATTAAGCAAATTTTGTAAATATAAATAATAATTGTATTCTTCTTCCTTTTTTTCTGCAAGAAAAATTATAGTTTGCAAATTATGTTTGCAAACATAATTCGCATTGAATCGAACTTATTGTAATGTTTAATTATGTTTAAATAAGAACACAGTTTTTTGGTTGATCAAAGATAGTTAGATTCAAACATAGTTTTCTCAATGTAATGAAAGTTGAAAATTCGTAGAATATTTCGAAAGTAATCTCCAGATCCTCAATTTAAAAGTTTGTCCTAAAAAAATGAACTTGTCACCAATATAGAAGCACCAATTTTCACGCGTTTTGACAACGATCACAATATATATTTTTTTTCTAGAAAATAATTTATCGAAAATGAGAATATTTTCATGGAAGATGATATATTAATAGAGAAACCTATGCGGTTCGCGAGGAAAGATTGATGTCTATATATATTAACTCTTTTATGAAAAGAATTTTTTTTGTTTTTTTTTTTTGGTAAAATTGCTTGTTGTAAAATATAATCCGATGAGTAAAAATTTCGCTGTTACTCAAAATCGGAATAATATTGATGGTCACACAACATTGGATGATGGAATTTTGTGTGTGTGACACAGAAATTCAAATTGAAATTCGATGATGATGATGATAATTGAATTTATTGGTGGAAGGTTCAGTAGGCTCGAAGTCTGACCTCCATGTCGGGATCCTGTCTGTGAGTTAGATGAGGTTCAACTGCGCCAGCAGTCGCTGCACCGGTTCCATGATGTGCATGATGACCATGATGATGGTGATGATGGTGATGATGATTTAGATGCGGTGGTTGAACGCCACCACTTCTGTAGGTTCTTTGCTTCTCCTCAAATTCTCGAAGACGTTGATTGTAACGCTCAAGTTGATCCCGAAGTAGTGCATCTTCCTCATTTGCTTTTTCCTCGTCGTATTCCAAACATCCAACGCCGTCTAAACGGTCCAGGTCTAGCCAGCCTCTCCACAAGACGCAGACTCCGTTCATTATTAGATGAGATTTCAAGTGAACCTGCAAGCAAAAAAATATTATTATTATTATTAATATTATTATTATTATACATATTTAATATTAATATTATAATTATAATATTATAATCAGGGTTGCCTCAAGTCAGGGAAAGTAAAATCGGTCAAGGAAAAATCAGGGATTTTTATTAAAAGCACTGGGAAAAATTAAATTTTGAGAATTCATAAGACAATTCTAAATTGTCCCAAAATTTAAAAAATTCTCTTTTAAATTTCAATCATCTTTATAAGTAATAAAATTTTTCTACAAAATTCAATTATTTTCAAAAATTTCAACAAAATTCTTCTCCAAAATTCAATTATTTTAAAAAATTTCAACAAAATTCTTCTCCAAAATTCAATTATTTTCAAAAATTTCAACAAAATTCTTCTCCAAAATTCAATTATTTTCAAAAATTTAAATAAAATTCTTCTCCAAAATTCAATTATTTTCAAAAATTTCAACAAAATTCTTCTCCAAAATTCAATTATTTTCAAAAATTTAAATAAAATTCTTCTCCAAAATTCAATTATTTTCAAAAATTTCAACAAAATTTTTCTTCAAAATTCAATTACTTTAAAAAATTTCAATAAAATTCTTCTCCAAAATTCAATTATTTAAAAAAATTTCAATAAAATTCTTCTTTAAAATTCAATTATTTAAAAAAATTTCAATAAAATTCTTCTTTAAAATTCAATTATTTAAAAAAATTTCAATAAAATTCTTGGCAAAATTTTTGTTATTTTCAAAAATTATCCTCAATTTAATAATTTTTATAATCTACTATTTTAATAAAATTTTCCAAAAGAATTCAAATATTAAAAAAAGATTTTAATAAAATTCTATACATACATTTAATTACATATTTTCATAAATAATAAAAATTCCAAAGAAATTAAATTATTTACAAATGTTTTATAAATTTCTTCCCAATAATTAAACTATTTTCATAAATAATAATTTTTTTTCTACAAGAATTCAATTCTCTTCATAAATAATAAAACTTACCATTGAATTTTTAAATAATTAAATTCTTTTGACGAATTTTAATAAAATTTTTAAGAATAAATTGTATAAAAAATAATTGAAATTCAATGGTAAGTTTTATTATTTATGAAAATAATTGAATCCCTGTAAAAAAATTTATTAAAAAATGAATTTCAGTTTAAATTTTAGATAAGCATTATAGCGTGAATTTATAGAAATAAATTGCATTTTGAAAAAGTTTCAAATTAAAATCTTTGAAAATTTGAATTTTACATACTTTTAACTTACAATTCGGAGGAATTAATTTTTTTGAAAAAGTTTCATTGAATTTTTTTTTTTTTAAATTATTTGAAGTTTTTATTTTCTAAAATATATTTAATATTGAAGAATTTAGCGATTAATCGAAATTCTGTAAAATTGAATTGTAAACAAACAGATTTGAGAATTCTCAAAGACCTTTTTCAAAAATTATTAAACATAATTGATTTAAAGAAGAATTTTAAATAAAAATTCTAGAAAACAATAATTGAATTGAAAAAATGTAAAGAATTTTTGAAGAAGTTATAGTAACAATATTCTTATTTAATTTAAAGAAAACTTTTGTTGTATTCGAAAAATTTTTAGAATTATTTTCTGAAAAATATTTTAATATAATTTTATGTAATTGAAAGTATATTGAAAATAATTGAGTTTTAAAAAATTAGAATAAAAAAGTTGTCTGAATTTCTTTTTTTCATAAATATTTTAACATTATTTTTAGAAGCTAATTTTCATAAATTTTTATTTTTTATTTTACACTTGTAGTTTCTTTGTTTCAAAGAAATTTTGTCTGAATAAAAGAAATAAATTTTTATTTTTCTGTACGAAGAAAATTTTTTTGATTTAAACAACTTTTTTTTTAATTAAACAGATTTTTTTATCTCTAAATTTGAATTAGTAAAAAATTAAAAATGCTTACTAGTTTGGACTTTTTGCTTTTAAATTAGTAAATTTTTTAATAAAAATTAATTTTTAAAATTAGAAAATAAATTAGGAGAAATTACTAATACATATATATATATTAATTTCTACTAATTTATTAGTAAAATTTACGAATTCGAAAGCAAAAAGGCCAAATAAGTAAACAGTTTTCCTAATTCAAATTTAAAGAGTTATTGAATCGAAAGAAAACTTTCCTGGTAGAAAATTGAGATTATAAATTGTTTTGAAAATATTTAATTAGGAAAAAATTTTAATTTATTAATGAAAATCTCCATTCTATGCATAAATTATGTGCGACCGCAAAATTAATGTTGAATTTCGCAATGAAATACGTTTCGTTTTGACATTATATGCACATTAAATTGCAAATGTGCGAATGCAATGGGAAATATTTTATTGTTTTGAGAGTAAAAAATGAAAGATTAATTTTAAAAAGAGAGATGGCGAGAAGTAATAAATTTAATTTGTCTATTGTGTTCGCTCGAATGTGAAATATCATTTTAGAAACAGGTTTCTTTTTCCACTCAAGACGATAGAATTACGTGTTGTTTGGTGATTATTTTTATATTGAAATTTCCAGGATAATTTAGAGATATTACACAACTATCGGTTTTTCTTTTAAACTTTTTTTTCTCTGCATTTTTTTTTTCGTTTTTTTTTTCATTTACCGAGCAACGTTAAAGGCGGATTGAATCACGATCGTTTTAGAGGAGTAAAACGTTGCAATTTCCTCCCACTATTTTGATGCCAGAAGCCTTTTCTGAACCATCCAATTTGCGCCTTAATCGCCTTCTAGAAACGAGAAAAAGTATTCGGCTGCCGACAGAACAAAACCCGAATTGAAATGACGAGAGAAGATTGCAGATTGAAGCACCGACCCGACCCGACGGCAAGGGGAAAAATAATGGGAATTCCAAAGATGAGAATCAGGTTTTTTGTAATTCATGAGGAAAAACATTAATTATTTTATATTTTTTGAAGGTCGGGAAATTAACATAAATGAAAAATTAATTTCTTTCTATTTTTATTCTTTTGAAAAGTTCGCACCGAAGTGAAAATTTATTTGATTCAAATATACGATTACTTTTTTATTATCAAATAAATATTTATTTGTGTTAAATAACTTTTATTTATATCCATTAATTTTTATTATTGTCCAGTAATTTTTATTTATGTTCAGTAATTTTTATTTATGTCTATTAATTTTTATCATTGTCCAGTAACTTTTTTTTATGTTCAGAAATTTTTATTTATGCTCAGTAATTTTTATTTATGTTCAGTAATTTTTATTTACGTCCAGTAATTTTTATTTATGTCAAATAAATAGAATTTGTTTAAAATACTGAAATAAATCATTCACTTTTGTTCAGTCGGGGAAAAATTTATTTGAAAGAATTTATTTGAGATAAATAAAATTTATTTGATTCAAGTAAATATTTATTTGATAATACACAAGTAATCGTTTATTTGAATTAAATATAATTTTTAGTTTTAAATTTAAAATTATAACTTCGTAAAGTTTATATTAAAAATAAAAAGAATTTTATGAAAATAGAAATTTAAATACTGTAATTTAATTGATTGTGCGTATTTCGTCAAGAATTTCTATGGAGAAATTGAATCACCAGGGGAAACAATAATAATCAGAAACTGGAAAGATAGAAATGAGAAATCTTCTGCGAAATAGAGAAACCTGACATTTATCCGCATGGTTCCTTGGAATTCCGAAATGGATAATTATCGAAATGCCCAAATTTAGCCTTTTGAAAGCGCTTTCCGTTGATATTTATTTTTTTCGAATATTTCTATTTCTGGTTCTTATGCTTTCAATAAAATTCTGGGTCATTTGTGACCCATGGGAGATGAATGTTGGTAATAAAAATAAAAATAAAATTTTTAGATGAGACTAAATTTTTTAGTGTTTTGTAATTCTGAATTAGTTGGAAATAACTAATTTTTAGTAAAAATTTGGCTGGGTTTTTGTTTTAGAAATTAGTAAAATACTCTTTAAATTTGAAGTAGTAAAAATTTTTACTAATTTAAATTTGTGACTGATTTTTTGTTCTGGAATAAGTAAATTTTACTAATAAATAGTAATTTCTACTAATTTATTAGTAAAATTTAAGCAAAAATTGTTTTTATTTTGGATTTAGTAATTTCTACTAATTTATTAGTAAAATTCACTAATTCAAAAGCAAAAATTGTTTTCATTTTGGAATTAGTAAGTTTTACTAATTCAAAAGAAAAAAAATTGCAAAATAAGTAATTACTAATAAATTAGTCACTTGACTAATTGAAATAGTTACAAATTTTTTTAGTTATTTTCATATAAAAGTAAATTAAAATAATTGACTTGAAATAACAAAAATAAAACAAATACAGTTAACTAAAATTTTATTTAAATTTATTTTATTTGTTTTCAAAAAAATTAAGATTAAAAATTTATCATTGAAATTGGGAGTAAAAATTTAGATTTTAATAATGGAAATTTTGAAATACATTATTTTTATCAGTTTCGTAATGATGACGAGTGTGGGACTCATTAAAACGTTTTTTTACGTTTTGAGGAAAAATTGCATCTGCCTCGTGTGACGAAATTTTTGCGAACAATGCGATTTTTTTCTGATTATAATTGAACGACGGGATATCGATGTTTTCGGGGAGGGGAAATCTCGAAGAGAAAGACGAAAGGAATCAATAAGTCATACAATTTTGTTGAATATATTTTGTGCGATTGTGATTATTTTGCTTGATGAGTAATAGCTGGACGGTTGGAAATTAAATTATAATTATGAACACTTCACTTTTTTGAAACTCTAAAAATTAACAGTTAAATAACAAATTTTTTGAATATAAAATTAATTTTTTTGAATTTAAATTTTTAGGTAAATTTTACTATTTTCAAATAAATATTTACTTGAATCAAATACAATTTTTATTTAAATTAAATAAATTTTGTTCTCTCTAAATTTTAATTAGTAAAAATTTTTTCTAATTTGAATTAGTGAAGGACTATTTGTCTTTGAATTAGTAAA